TCCATGACTTACACAAACGGTTTGATTAGTGACCGCTCAGTTACAACGGCCCTGAAAAAAAAAAAATGGACCGATGGCCCATTTCCACATGTGTGGCTATTGCAGCATCTCTAGGGTTGCATGATCAAAGTTTGGACAGTTGTGTGTGCATGTGTGTATACACACACATATACACACACAAAGTCGTTAAGTGAATCTGGCTTAAATATATAAATATATATATTTATGATGGTTGGTCACCATTTGTAACCTCCCCAACCAGTTTCCGACAAGCAAAGTCATTGGAGGGAAGCCAGATTCACTTAACGACTCTATTATCCATTTAATGACTGCAGGGGTTCGCTTAACTGTGGCAAAAAAAAAAAGGTTGTAACATGGGGCTAAATTCACTTAGCGACTACGTTCCTTAACAAATGGAAATTGTGGGCTCAGTTGATGTCGTAAGTCAAGGATCCACCTGCATCTTGCCACAAACCTAGGACAGTTAGACTCCAGAGGTGACAGGTCTATGATCATCTACTGAGAGCTCAGATGGAAAGGGATCTGGAAGCCATATGCCAGGCGATGCTTTTGGTGCTCACTCATGGAGGGTTTGGCTAAATGCCAGTCCTTGTTTTTCGGAGGGGGGGGAACAGACAACCTGTTCACAACTACTACTTTTCTAGTCCAATGAATAGTTTGAACTAAGAGAGATGCCCATTTCAGATAAAAGTGAGAGCTTCTTGATGGAATCACATTTTCTGCCCCAAAGAGAGAGACAGGATGAACCAAACTCACTGTCAGCACTTCAACCTGCATTTACTCTAGTGCTGACATAAGGAGAAGCGAAGGCGTCTGGAAAGGGACGTTTGACTTTTCACCTACTTATTGTCTCTGGAGATAATATCCCCTAGGAGATGGAATGGGAGGGGGGAAATTCCTTTGAGGTGAAGTAGATTAGGGGTAGAATGACTTGGAAGAGGCCAATGAGTGCAGGGGAGTGGGGAACGGAAAGGGAGGGTTTTGGGGCTGGACGTCAGTGTTGGCTTCGTTTGGAGTCGGGTTAGAATGTCGTGCTTAATAAATAGGAGTTTTTCTTCAAAGACTTTGTTTGAAATGCAATTTATTTGAGACAACCTCGAAACTTGACACTCACGCCTTGAAACTGTGCCTACAGATGTCTTCATGCAAAGGAGAATCCCATGAAACCAATTGTTGCTTTGTGATTGCAAAACACACCAATCGTGGTTGCTTCCTTCAAGTTCCATGCTTGAAGGATGGATGACCTGCAACTTCACTAAAGCCCCTCGGCTGACACAACTACCTAAGCGGTAAACTAAGTTATTTTGCTAAATTCTTCTCCCAAAACCCAAAAATGCTGTTTTATGTCAAAATCAGTGCCACCCTTCAAATCTAGCATACATGACAGACTTGTGCAGTGAAATGAAGGACTTGGGGAGACAGGACAGCAGTGTTGCAATTTTGGAGGCTCCCAAAGGTGCTTTTTCAAGAGGCAACTTGGATGAGAAGCAAAACGTCTTCAAAGAAAAACCAGAAAGTCCAGTTGCCACTTGAAAAAGCACCTTTGAGACATCCATGATCTGGATGACTGAGAATCTCCATAGATAATATTTGAGGGGTTGACCCAAAGAAGAGGGTCAACCTATTCTCCAAAGCACCTGAAGGCAGGTCAAGAAGTAACAAATGGAAACAATGGATTGTTGGTTATCTGAGGGCCATCCATCTGACTCAATAGAGCAGGGAGGCAAGGAATGACGCGGGTCCTGTCCCCTAAGAAGATACATCTGGCAGGACGCAGAAGAAGAGCCTTCTCCATGGTGGCTCAAATCCAAGAGATGGAAACACTAATGATTTCAAATATGCAGATGATCCAACCTCATTAGCTGAAAGAAAAGATTTTATTATATTAAGAAAAAAAAATGGGGAATGAAAAATCTGGCCGAAAGTTAAATGCTAAAAAGATAGCAGTAACATCAGTCAGCAGGCAGAACAAATTTATAACTGATGGTAGGAAGTGAAGGAGGGGCACGATGGCCTAGTGGTTAAGAGGATGGACTTGTCAACCAGAAGTTCAGCAGTTCAAGACTCAAGTACTGCCCCCCCCAGCTCTTGCCAATCCAGCCGTTCAAAAACATGCAAATGCGAGTAGATAAATAGCTACCACTTTGGTGGGAAGATAACAGCATTCCATGCATCTTCAGCATACAGTCATGCTGGCCACATGACCACAGAAATTGCTTTTGTGCAATGTTGGCTCCCTCAGCTAGGAAATGGAGATGAGCTGATGCAATTTATCAACCCTCCAGAGTCGGACGCCACTGGGAGGGGACAACCTTTACCTTTAAAAAGTACTCAACTTTTTTAAAAATATATTTTTGGGAAGTGAAGTGGTTGCTTTCCTGAGCTCAAGAATAAATATGGACAGAGTGCAGGAGAATTTGAGATGAAATTAAGTCTAGGAAGGAAGATAACGGCAAGTGCAGATAAAACTATGAAAGATAAAGGCTATTTTTAGGACAACAAAGATCAGTATAGTTAACCCAATAATTTTTCCAGATGTTCTATATAACTTTTAAGGTGGAAAATGAAAAACAGAGGTGGTATTCAGCCGGTTCGGGCAAACCGGTAGCAGCGACTGCAGGTGGGCCTTCCCACCTGCCTGTATGTAATGCTATCCTATTTAGCCATGTTTTCAAGGCTGGGCGCAAGCATGGAAGGCCCGCACCAGTGGTGGGCTGCTTCCAGTTTGGTCCGGTTCTTACGAACTGGTAGTAAAAGCGGTAGGAGGCTCCACCGACCCACCTGGACGTCATCATGGATGATCTGTGCATGCGCAGAAGCTTCTGCGCATGCTCCCGTTGTGAACCAGTAGTAAAGGTAAGTAGAATCCACCCCTGGCCCGCACATGAGCAAAGTGCATACATGGAAGGCGGGGCGCATGCACGGAAGTCATCCGCGTGCGCGCTGAACTGGTGGCAACAATTTGTGAAACACACCCCTGATGAGAAAGCCTGTGAATGATGGTTTTCAAGATGGTTCCAAAGGATACCTTGGAGAGTAAGAAAAACCAGACAGTCTTGGACCAGATAAAGGTTGACTGCATAGAGGTAGGCAGAGATAGTGAAGGAATGCAAAAGCCTTTCAGCCCTTCCAAGAAGGCTCCACATCCATTTGCACCACTTAGGTGACCCTGAGGACACAGACAAACCTCCACGTGGCCTCCATGACTCTCTAAAAGGATGCAAATGACCAGCTGTCTGCAAGGAATAGAAATCCTCCCATTCCCCACCATCCAGTCAGAGCTGAAGAAGCTTCTTGGATGAGAAGCAAAACGTCTTCAGAGAATAACAAGAAAGTCCAGTTGCCTCTTGAAAATAAAAAAAGCATCTTTGGGAAAGCGTGGCATGTTCTTAGAAAACGCCTGCCATGATGTTCATGGCCAGTCATAAGATACCCAGAAGGCATGCAAGATTGTTCCTCTCTACCTCTTCTAGCTTTGCAACTTCTTTTCTGTATTCTTTGTTTACCTCGGTTGATTTTTTTTTAAAGTACACTTTCAAAAACACCGACGTATATTGGCTATTATTATTATGATTGGTTGTATCGTCTACAGAAATTTAGATTGGATTTGGCATATTTGTCTACCTATCAAGTCATTCCCAAGGACCTAGGATAGGCTGGTTTTGTTTAATAATACTAACATTATTATTGCATGCATGAGCAATCTAAGGTTCGCTTCTTAGTCTAAGACTGGTGTGAACTTAATAATTCAAGTCCTAACCAAAGATCTAAGATATTATCGTTGGCTGAACAGATATTTACATTGGATAGCCTAGAGTGGCTTTGAGCGGCGCGATGGCCTAATGGTAAAGATGTTCACCTCCCACTCAGAAGGTTGAGAGTTCAATCCTAGCTAGCAATGGATATTTCTGTCCTAGAGTGCAAAGAAAAATATATCTGCTGTGAACACCACATAGGCGTCAGGAAGGGCAGCCAGCCAGTAAACGCTCAGCTCCATCCAGTCAACTCTATGGGATTACAGGGTTGTAAGAGGGAGGTTTTTTTTAATCTAGACTGGATTTGGCATTTTTATCCACCTATCGTACCTGGGAGACACAGATGTTCTTGTCTGATGGTGTTAAAAGATATTATTGCAGGATGTATTGTTATCATTAGTCTTTTCTAATAATAGACATACAGGGCCCCGACGATGACTTATCAATATGAATGACAAGTTTTCATTTATCTATAAAATTTACAATAATTCATCTATAAAATTTACAATAATTTATCTATAAAATCAAAATAACATCTTGCTGAGATACTGACCTATCAGTACTAGAGGACAGCCCACCGGTAATCATGAAACAGAAACAGTGATTTTTTCCCCCAAACACCTTCTCTAAAAGTCTATTTGCACAAAGGATAGTCCTCATTTAATGACTGTTTGTAGTTACAATGAGTGCATTTTGGCTGGCAAGGCAGCTCTGGAAAGGGAGGGGGGCTTTGGTGGCACTACAAGCGAAGCCAGCTTGCTCACCTGTGGTGCACCTTGAGAAGTGAGCAGGTGTTTCCTCTAACAGGGCTGGTACCTTGGCAAGCCAAACTACTACTCTGCAATAGCATTGTGGTCTCCTGGTTACTGTAACAACACCATATGCTGATAATAATAATATATACTCAGACGTTACCTTAACAGCTCTTAGGTCCTTGGTTAAGACTTGAACTGTTAAGTTTTTACCAGTCCCAGACTGTGAATTGAACTAAAGATTAAATCTATAATAGTAATAAGTCAGGAAAATGAAAACTGTGGCTTCAGGGACTCATTTATAACTGACACAAGGACACAGGAATTTCACTCAAGCATCTGAAAACAAAGCTCGCTCTAGCTTTCTTCTGGGAAGGTATAAGTTACAGTGGCAACTATAAAAAGAACGCTTTCTGATGGGAACCAATTTCACACATGTCGTTTCAGGGGGAAATATTTGCCCGGGACTCACCTATGCGAAAGGGAAGGTTTCATGGAGTTCATGGGTGCTTGCATGGGCAGCTTCCCCGGAGGGTCGTTTTGCCGGCTTTTCTGATGACGTAGCAACAAGAGTCGTCCAAGTTCTTCACACCACGATGAAAGCAGCGCTGGGGGAAAGAAGGGAAAAAGAGAGAGAGAGAGATAAGAAGGAAATATATAGTGGTTTGTGGGAACAGGCGTCTTAAGCAATGGAACTGGTTGCATTGGGCAATCTTAAGTTCATTCATGCAAATCCGTGAAGAGCTTCTGCATCATGCCATTGGCTCTCTCTGATCCCTCAAACAGAAACCACCATGCAAAATTCTTCTCTTCCACCATCTACCAAATGCTAAACTGTGAGGGAAGGCCATAAGCATGTTGCCTTCAGCTGATCATCAGGACAGGGCAAAGAATCAGGGCTCCCCCTCCATTTTTAATTGTGCCCTTCTGTATGGTAATCTAAAGAAGAAAGGAAGGGGGGGAGAGGAAGGGAGGAAGAAAGGAAGAGAGGGAGGGTGGGAGAAAGAAAGAAGGAAAGAAGGAATAGAATAGAACAGAATAGAATAGAATAGAATAGAAGAATAGAATAGAATAGAATAGAATAGAATAGAATAGAATAGAATAGAATAGAATAGAATAGAATAGAATAGAATAAACAGAGTTGGAAGGGATCTAGTCCAACCCCCTGCTTAGGCAGGAAAACCTACACCATTTCAGACAAATGGTTATCCAACATCTTCTTAAAAACCTCCAGTGTTGGAGCATTCACAATTTCTGGAGGCAATTGTTCCACTGATTAATTGTTCTAACTGTCAGGAAATTTTCTCCTTAGTTCTAAGTTGCTTCTCTCCTTAATTAGTTTCCACCCATTGCTTCTTGTCCTGCCCTCAAGTGCTTTGGAGAATAGCAGGCAGGCAGGCAGGCAGGCAGGCAGGCAGGCAGGCAGGAAGGTAGGTAGGTGGGATTAGCATAGTGCAGGGGTGTCAAACTTGCGTCGTCACAGCTTTGTCACATGATGTATCACAACTTTCCCCCCTTTGCTAAAATGGGGGTGGGTGTGGCCAGCGCATGACACATCTGGCCCGCGGGCCACAAGTTTGAAACCCCTGGCATAGTGGTTAAGGTGCTGATCTAAAACCAGGAGACTGTGACTTCTAGTCCTGCCTTAGATATAAAAAAATCTGACTAGTTGAGTGGGAAGTGCCTTGGGTCGGTCACTTTCTCTCAGTCCATCTCAGAGGCTTGTTGTTGTGGAGAAAATAGGAAGCGGAAAGAATATTCGGCATGTTTGCTGCCTTGAGTTAGTTATAAAGCAATAATAAAAGGATAAAAAAAAAATCTAAAATCTAAAAAAAAAAAAAAAAATCAGAGTGGTTGCTATGAGAGGGAGAGGCAAAGCCACCAAGTCCCCATTCCTTTGTTGGACTCCAAAGATTTGCGAAAGAATATTGTCTTAGTATGATTCTAGGTATGTGATGTGATCTCTACTACAATGAGGAAAGGTTGAGCCTGGAATGAAAATGAGAGGAGCAACATCTGGAAAGATGATAGTTTAGTCCACTTCATAAATGCATGGCGCAATGAAAAAGAACAAACCTATTAGGACAAGATTCAGGAGTCCATCTGCATTTAAAAGACAAAGGCCACTCTTTTGAAGACAGCAATGTCCACATTTTGGACAGAGAGGACCACTGGTTTGAAAGAGGAGTCAAAGAGGCCATCTAGGTCAAAATTGAACAGCCTTCTCTCAACAGAGGGGGAGGGATACGACATCATCTATCTCCAGTCTACGACACAGTCCTTTCAGCAGTTCCAAGAAGGCACCACGCCCATTTGGGCCACTCAGATGATTCTGAGGACACAGACAAACTTCCAAGTGGCATCAGTGACTCTCTAAAAAAATGCAAATGACCAGCTGGGAATATAAACCATTCCCCACCATCCAGTCAGAGCTGAAGAAGCTTCTTGGATGAGAAGTGAAACGTCTTCAAAGAATAACAAGAAAGTCCAGTTGCCTCTTGAAAAAGCACCTTTGGGACAACCATAACCTAGATGACTGAAAATCTCCATAAACATCTAGTTTAGTCTCTGTTAACATATTTCCCAATTTCACCACCATGAAAAAGAATTAAGAGATAGAATAGAATAGAGTAGAGTAGAGTAGAGTAGAGTAGAATAGAGTAGAGTAGAGTAGAGTAGAATAGAATAGAATAGAATAGAATAGAATAGAATAGAATAGAATAGAATAGAATAGAATAGAATAGAATTCTTTATTGGCCAAGTGTGATTGGACACACAAGGAATTTGTCTTTGGTGCATATGCTCTCCGTGTACATAAAAGAAAAGATACATTTGTCAAAAATCATAAGGTACAACACTTAATGATAGTCATAGGGAACAAATAAGCAATCAAATCATATTGGGAAACAGTCAATATAAATCTTAAGTATACCAGCAACAAAGTTACAGTCATAAGTGGGAGGAGATGGGTGATAGGAAGGATAAGAAGATTAATAGTAATGCAGACTTAGTAACTGGTTTGACAGCGTTGTGGGAATTATTTGTTTAACAGAGTGATGGCGTTCGGGAAAAAACTGTTCTGGTGTCTAGTTGTTCTGGTGTGCAGTGTTGTTTTACAATATGTCACCTACTAGAAAATAAACATTTTCAGCCCGAAGAAAAGATTTTGGAACTCCCAAATGTCCGTTGTTGTCTTATAATGGCTATTACCAGCTTGACATTGTAACAGTGCTACATAATCTAAAGTTTAGAAGTTTCTATCACATTGGAATCTCCTTGACTTTTGTCTAGTGGAAAAATGTCTGAAGGAATATACTGTAGTAATAGCTACAGTATATAGACTGTATACTGTATATAGTATATAGACTTATATACTGCTTCACAATGCTTTACAGCCCTCTCTAAGCAGTTTACAATGTCAGCATCTTGCCCCCAAGAATCTGGCTCCTCATTTTACTGACCTTGAAAGGATGGAAGGCTGAGTCAACCTTGAGCCTGTCAGGATCGAACTCCGGGCAGTGGGCAGAATTAGTCTGCAATGCTACATTCTAACCACTGAATCACACCCTGGTTTCTATTTTACTCAACAGCTAAATATGTCCATTCTTCACTACAGCTGGCCCCAATTTACTGTATTTCTTAGAGAATTGTTTGGACAGAGGAATAGATGGAAGAACTTCAAGATGCAGTGGAAAATTTTTTTTTCCCACCAAGTATTTTCCTGTTTTTATAGATATTCACATGGCAATGACCTGCCTATTGGTTAGAAGCTCAGATGTAGATTTACATCTTTTCTGTCTGGAAAATGTCAGTTGTGGTTAAGAATTGATTGATTTTTTAAAAATTTATAAATGTTTCTGAATGGAAGGGCCAGGATTTATTTATTTTTTATTTCACTTGTACGCTGCTGGATTGATTCCAGATTTGCTGAGGTTTACTAAAGAATTGATAAAAGTATCCATAAGCAGTTAAAAACATCCGTGGATAAGGTTAAAAAAAAATAAAAAACATATAAATAATCCAAGATACAAAAGCACACCTTAACAATGATGCAAGTATCCTTTCCATACATGCAGGTATTCCTCGACTTACAACCATTCATTTAGTGATTGTTGGAAGTTACAACAGAACTGAAAAAAAGTGGCTTATGATCTTTTCCCACACAGCATCGGGACACCATGTGACACTTGGCAACTGGCATGTACTTGTGACGGTTGCAGAGTCTCAGGGTCACCTGATCGCCTTTTGTGACCTCTTGACAACCAAAGTCAAGGGGGAAAGTTAGATCCACTTAACAACTGTCTTACTATGAAAATGTTCACATAGCAACCAAATTTTTAGGCCCAACTGAAGTCGTAAGTCAAGGACTACCTGTATTTCTGAATTTACTGTAATGGAAATTAATGAAAATTAATTTCCATTACATAGGAGCCTGGTTTAGCTCAACAGACAGAAGCACTGTAATTTAACACCAGCTGTCTGCAATTAAAGTAAGATCGAATCTCGCCAGGCTCAAGGTTGACTCAGCCTTCCATCCTTTCTAAGGTAGGTAAATTGAGGACCCGGTTTGTGGGGGCAATAAACTGACTTTGTATAAATATACAAAAGTATGAAGGCTATTGCTTAACGCACTGTAAGCCGCCCTGAGTCTCCGGAGAAGGGCGGCATATAAATCAAATTAAAAAGAAAATGTTTGTTTTCCCAAAAATAAGACCGGGTCTTATATTAATTTTTTCTCCAAAATATGCATTAGGTCTTATTTTTGGGAAAATACGGTACTAACTGCATCCATCCATCCAACTGGGGCTTATTTTGGGGTAGGGCTTATATTATGAGCATCCTGAAAAATCATGCTAAGGCTTACTTTCCGATTAGGTCCCTTCCAACACTGTTATTCTGTTAGGTCTTTCCATACCTGGGGCTTTCACCACACTCTCAGTAAGGCACAGCCTTGATAACAAAAAAAGAGAGGGAGCAACAGGGAGCTGCTCTTACTTGGGGAGTCCCCTAAAAACACTCTACAATAAGAAGAGTAACTCAACCCACAGTCAGCAATTAAGGTGGCCATTCTGATTGTGAAGAAATCAATCCCTTTTCGGGAGTATTCTTATTTTGATCTGGTATGATGTATTGTAAGCAGAGAGCACAGGTCTAAATGTTTCTCTATTAGCCAAGGAATCTGACAACAACCTTTTGATTGAAAGGGGGTTACCTTTCATCTCTGATTAACAGGCCAGCAACAAAGGCTATGCAACCTCCTCCTTTTCATTCCTTTTTACACAACCGCTGCAGATAACAATCACTACCTAACATTGTTTTCCTGGGCTCCAAGATCACTGCAGATGGGGACTGCAGCCAAGAAATTAAAAGACGCTTGCTCCTGGGGTAGAAAGCTATGGCAAACCTAGACAGCATACTAAAAAGCAGAGACATCACCCTGCCAACAAAAGTGTGTATAGTCAAGGCTATGGTTTTCCCAGTTGCAATGTACGGCTGTGAAAGTTGGACCATAAGGAAGGCTGAGTGCCAAAGAATTGAGGCCTTTGAACTAAGGTGCTGTAGAAGACTCCTGCGAGTCCCTTGGACTGCAAGGCGACCAAACTGGTCA